GTGTTCCTTCATGACCCTCGTGTAGTAGTGTAGGGTCAGGGGCTCCTTCATGACCCTCGTGTAGTAGTGTAGAGGTCAGGGGCTCCTTCATGACCCTCGTGTAGTAGTGTAGAGGTCAGGGGCTCCTTCATGACCCTCGTGTAGTAGTGTAGGGGTCAGGTGTTCCTTCATGACCCTCGTGTAGTAGTGTAGGGGTCAGGTGTTCCTTCATGACCCTCGTGTAGTAGTGTAGGGGTCAGGTGTTCCTTCATGACCCTCGTGTAGTAGTGTAGGGGTCAGGTGTTCCTTCATGACCCTCGTGTAGTAGTGTAGGGGTCAGGTGTTCCTTCATGACCCTCGTGTAGTAGTGTAGGGTCAGGTGTTCCTTCATTTACCCTCGGTAGTAGTTGTATAAGGTCAGGGGCTCCCTTTATGACCCTCGTGTAGTAGTGTAGGGTTTAGGGGCTCCTTCATGACCCTCGTGTAGTTGTGTAGGGTCCCGGGTTTTCCCTTTATGACCCTGTGTAGTAGTGTAGGGGTCAGGTGTTCCTTCATGACCCTCGTGTAGTAGTGTAGGGATCAGGTGTTCCTTCATGACCCTCGTGTAGTAGTGTATAGGTCAGGGGCTCCTTCATGACCCTCGTGTAGTAGTGTAGGGGTCAGGGGCTCCTTCATGACCCTCGTGTAGTAGTGTAGGGGTCAGGGGCTCCTTCATGACCCTCGTGTAGTAGTGTAGAGGTCAGGTGTTCCTTCATGACCCTCGTGTAGTAGTGTAGGGGTCAGGTGTTCCTTCATGACCCTCGTGTAGTAGTGTAGGGGTCAGGGGCTCCTTCATCACCCTCGTGTGTAGTTTTAGAGGTCAGGTGTTCCTTTTAAGACCCTCCTGTAGTAGTGTAGGGGGCAGGTGTTCCTTCATGACCTCGTGTAGTAGTGTAGGGGTCAGGGGCTCCCTTTATGACCCTTCGTGTAGTAGTGTAGAGGTCAGGTGTTCCTTCAGACCCTCGTGTATAGTGTAGGGGTCCCCGTGTTCCTTCATGACCCTCGTGTAGTTGTGTAGAGGTCAGGGGCTCCTTCATGACCCTCGTTGTAAGAGTGAGAGGTCGGTGTTCCCTTTAGACCCTCGTGTAGTAGTGTAGGGGTCAGGTGTTCCTTCATGACCCTCGTGTAGTAGTGTAGGGGTCAGGTGTTCCTTCATGACCCTCGTGTAGTAGTGTAGGGGTCAGGGGCTCCTTCATGACCCTCGTGTAGTAGTGTAGAGGTCAGGTGTTCCTTCATGACCCACGTGTAGTAAATTAGGGGTCAGGTGTTCCTTCATGACCCTCGTGTAGTAGTGTAGGGATCAGGTGTTCCTTCATGACCCTCGTGTAGTAGTGTAGGGGTCAGGTGTTCCTTCATGACCCTCGTGTAGTAGTATAGAGGTCAGGTGTTCCTTCATGACCCTCGTGTAGTAGTGTAGGGGTCAGGTGTTCCTTCATGACCCTCGTGTAGTAGTGTAGGGGTCAGGTGTTCCTTCATGACCCTCTTGTAGTAGTGTAGAGGTCAGGGGCTTTTTCATAACCCTCGTGTAGTAGTGTAGGGGTCAGGTGTTCCTTCATGACCCTCGTGTAGTAGTGTAGAGGTCAGGGGCTCCTTCATGACCCTTGTGTAGTAGTGTAGGGGTCAGGTGTTCCTTCATGACCCTCGTGTAGTAGTGTAGGGGTCAGGTGTTCCTTCATGACCCTCGTGTAGTAGTGTAGGGGTCAGGGGCTCCTTCATGACCCTCGTGTAGTAGTGTAGAGGTTTAGGTGTTCCTTCATGGGCCCTCGTGTAGTAGTGTAGGGGTCCCGGTGTTCCTTCATGACCCTCGTGTAGTAGTGTAGGGTCAGGTGTTCCTTCATGACCCCCGTTGTATAGTGTAGGGGGCAGGGGCTCCTTCATGACCCTTGTGTAGTAGTGTAGAGGTCAGGTGTTCCTTCATGACCCTCGTGTAGTAGTGTAGGGGTCAGGTGTTCCTTCATGACCCTCGTGTAGTAGGGTAGGGGTCAGGTGTTCCTTCATGACCCTCGTGTAGTAGTGTAGGGGTCAGGTGTTCCTTCATGACCTCGTGTAGTTTGTATAGAGGTCAGGTGTTCCTTCATTTACCCTCGTTGTAGTAGTGTAGGGTCAGGTGTTCCTTCATGACCCTCGTGGTTAGTGTAGGGGTCAGGTGTTCCTTCATGACCCTCGTGTAGTTAGAGTAGAGGTCAGGGCTCCTTCATGACCCTCGTTTTAGTAGTGTGAGTCAGGGGCTCCTTCATGACCCTCGGTAGTAGTGTAGGGGTCAGGGGCTCCTTCATGTCCCTCGTGTAGTAGCATAGGGGTCAGGGGCTCCTTCATGTCCCTCGTGTAGTAGTGTAGGGGTCAGGTGTTCCTTCATGACCCTCGTGTAGTAGTGTAGAGGTCAGGTGTTCCTTCATGACCCTCGTGTAGTAGTGTAGAGGTCAGGTGTTCCTTCATGACCCTCGTGTAGTAGTGTAGAGGTTTCAGGTGTTCCTTCATGACCCTCTGGGAGTAGTGTAGAGGTCAGGTGTTCCTTCATGACCCTCGTGTAGTAGTGTAGGGGTCAGATGTTCCTTCATGACCCTCGTGTAGTAGTGTAGGGGTCAGGTGTTCCTTCATGACCCTCGTGTAGTAGTGTAGAGGTCAGGTGTTCCTTCATGACCCTCGTGTAGTAGCGTAGGGGTCAGGGGCTCCTTTATGACCCTCGTGTAGTAGCGTAGGGGTCAGGTGTTCCTTCATGACCCTCGTGTAGTAGTGTAGGGGTCAGATGTTCCTTCATGACCTTCGTGTAGTAGTGTAGGGGTCAGGTGTTCCTTCATGACCCTCGTGTAGTAGTGTGGAGGTCATGTGTTCCTTCGTGACCCTCGTGTAGTAGTGTAGGGGTCAGATGTTCCTTCATGACCCTCGTGTAGTAGTGTAGGGATCAGATGTTCCTTCATGACCCTCGTGTAGTAGTGTAGGGGTCAGGTGTTCCCTTTATGACCCTCGTGTAGTAGGTAGAGGTCAGGTGTTCCTTCGTGACCCTCGTGTAGTAGTGTAGGGGTCAGATGTTCCTTCATGACCCTCGTGTAGTAGTGTAGGGGTCAGGTGTTCCTTCATGACCCTCGTGTAGTAGTGTAGAGGTCAGGTGTTCCTTCGTGACCCTCGTGTAGTAGTGTAGGGGTCAGATGTTCCTTCATGACCCTCGTGTAGTAGTGTAGGGGTCGGTGTTTTCCCTTCATGCCCTCGTGTAGTAGTGTGGAGGTCAGGTGTTCCTTCGTGACCCTCGTTAGTAGTGTAGGGTCAGGTGTTCCTTCATGGGCCCTCGTGTAGTAAATGTGGAGGTCAGGTGTTCCTTCGTGACCCTCGTGTAGTAGTGTAGGGGTCAGGTGTTCCTTTATGACCCTCGTGTAGTAGTGTAGAGGTCAGGTGCTCCTTTATGACCCTCGTGTAGTCGATAGGCTTTAAACCCCCATTAACCAGTCAAATTATTTGCCCTGAATGACCCACCAGACGGGTTTAGAGCTTCAGAAGGTACAATACAGTAAAATCTTTTTATTACAGTACTAGTAAGCTGTCTAGAATCTACAGTGGCGACTAAGCCACTTGCAGGACTGTCCACTGGCTTATTTTAAGCCTCGTAGCTGCTGTTGCTGCTGGGTTGTTTGGAGTTGACGTCCACCACTTGTACATCTAGGTCATTCCACTTCTCTCCTGCCCTGGTACTGAAGAATTAGTTCCCAACATCCCTGCGACTCTACGTATGAATTCCCTTGTTTCTGGTCCTTGTACTGTTCTCCCTCCCTCGTAGCTCCTCACAGTATCTAGCATGTAAAGTAAAAGGACACAAGTGCAACTAATGTGACATTTTATTGTGGCGACGTTTCGCTCTCCAGGAGCTTTATCAAGCCATTACAAACAATACATGGACACAGAGGGTATGTATAGGCTCAGAGTGAGGTGCAGTACTAGTGGTAGTAGTAGTAGTAGTGGTAGTAGTAGTAGTAGTAGTAGTAGTAGTAGTAGTAGTAGTAGTAGTAGTAGTAGTAGTAGTAGTAATATAATATGGTAGAGCAATTAAATCGTACATGAGTAAAAGGATATAAAAACTATTACTGTGGAGGCTGTGACAAGATTTACGTAGGTGAAACAGCAAGAAACCTCGACACCCGCCTCAATGAACACATTTACGCATGTAGGAACAACAACTTGAACAACGCCTGTGTACAACACCGAAATTCCACCAATCATCTCATGAAATTCAGAGACGCCAAGTTAGGGATCAAAGAAACTAATTTCCGCAGACGCAAGTGCCTCGAATCAGCACTGATCGCTGTTTCAAATACAATTAAACAAAACAACGGCAGCTTCACCATCTCTGAAGTCTTAGCAAGAATCCTCCTGAAAACAGTAAACCCTGCCATCACATAGTCTCTCCTGTTATACTACACAAAGCAATTTCAGAGAGTGAACACTGGGAAACAGGCCTTCTCTATCCAGTCTATATTTGTCCAAACCCATTTTTTTGTTACCAAGTAATAGTTTTTTATCCTTTTACTCATGTTTCGAATTAATTGTTCTACATATTGTATTACTACTACTACTACTACAACTTTTGTCACTACTACTACTACTACTTTCCACTAGTGAACATCGAAATGGTACCTCACTAGTATTGCACCTCACTCTGAGCCTTTATATACCCTCTGTGTCCATATACTGTTTGTATCGGCTTGACAAAGCTCCTGGAGAGCGAAACGTTGCCACAATAAAATGCACAGGTAATATATATATATATATATATATATATATATATATATATATATTTTATATATATATATATATATATATATATATTATATATATATATATATAATATATATATATAATATATATATATATATATATATATATATACTATATTATATATATATATATATATATATATATATATTATATATATATATATATATATATATATATTTTATTATATATATATACTAACATACAGCATTCGTCCACAGATGAGCCAGCTGTGCAAGGTGTGTGGTGAACCAGCTGCGGGCTTCCACTTCGGCGCCTTCACCTGCGAGGGATGTAAGGTGAGTGTCTCAGGTGAGCACGGTGGTCGAGGCCTGGGTACCAAGTAGGTGGTACCAGTCAAGCATAGTTGGGGTACCAGTCAACCATGGGACGGGTACCTGTCAACCATGGGTCGGGTACCTGTCAACCATGGGTCGGGTACCTGTCAACCATAGGACGAGTACCTGTCAACCATGGCTCGGGTACCTGTCAACCATGGGTCGGGTACCAGTCAACCATGGGTCGGGTAGCTGTCAACCATGGGTCGGGTACCAGTCAACCATGGATCAGGTACCAGTCAACGATGAGTCAAGTACCAGTCAACCATGGGTCGGGTAGTTAGGTAAGACACATATGCAACAGTTAGGTATCTTTATTATGAAACGTTTCGCCTACACAGTAGGCTTCTTCAGTCAAGTACAGAAAAGTTGATAGAAGCAGAAGATACTTGAAGACGATGTAATCAGTCCATCACCCTTAAAGTTTTGAGGTGGTCAGTCCCTCAGTCTGGAGAAGATCATTGTTCCATAGTATGAAACAATATGGAGAAGAAGTGACAGGATGGAGCTTTTTATAGCGCCAAGAGGTGAGACGTAGGCTATAAAAAGCTCCATTCTGTCACTTCAACTTCATATTGTTTCAGACAACGGAACAATGCTCTTCTCCAGACTGAGGGACTGACCACCTCAAAACTTTAAGGGTGATGGACTGATTACATCGTCTTCAAGTATCTTCTGCTTCTATCAACTTTTCTGTACTTGACTGAAGAAGCCTACTGTGTAGGCGAAACGTTTCATAATAAAGATACCTAACTGTTGCATATGTGTCTTACCTAACAACCTGTCGGTATTTTATACCATTTTAATGTTCATGGGTCGGGTACCTGTTAACCATGGGTCGGGTAACGGTCAACCATGGGTCGGGTACCAATCAACCACGGATCAGGTACCAGTCAACCATGAGCCAAGTACCAGTCAACCATAGGTCGGGTACCTGTCAACCATGGCTCGGGTACCTGTCAACCATGGGTCGGGTACCAGTCAACCATGGGACGGGTACCAGTCAACCATGGGTCGGGTACCTGTCAACCATGGGTCGGGTACCTGTCAACCATGGGTCGGGTACCAGTCAACCATGGGTCGGGTACCAGTCAATCATGGGTCGGGTACCTGTCAACCATGGGTCGGGTACCAGTCAATCATGCGTCGGGTACCAGTCAACCATGGGTCGGGTACCAGTCAACCATGGGTCGGGTATCAATCAACCATGGATCAGGTACCAGTCAACCATGAGTCAAGTACCAGTCAACCATAGGTCGGGTACCAGTCAACCACGGGTCGGGTACCTGTCAACCATGGGTCGGGTACCAGTCAACCATGGGACGGGTACCTGTCAACCATGGCTCGGGTACCTGTCAACCATGGGTCGGGTACCAGTCAACCATGGGTCGGGTACCAGTCAACCATGGGTCGGGTACCAGTCAATCATGCGTCGGGTACCAGTCAACCATGGGTCGGGTACCAGTCAACCATGGATCAGGTACCAGTCAACGATGAGTCAAGTACCAGTCAACCATGGGTCGGGTACCTGTTAACCATGGGTCGGGTAACGGTCAACCATGGGTGGGGTACCAATCAACCATGGATCAGGTACCAGTCAACCATGAGTCAAGTACCAGTCAACCATAGGTCGGGTACCAGTCAACCATGGGTCGGGTACCTGTCAACCATGGGTCGGGTACCTGTCAACCATGGGTCGGGTACCAGTCAACCATGGATTAGGTACCAGTCAATCATGAGTCGAGTACCAGTCAACCATGGGTCGGGTACCAGTCAACCATGGGTCGGGTACCAGTCAACCAGGGGTCGGGTACCAGTCAGCCCTGGGTCGGGTACCAGTCAAACATGGGTCGGGTACCAGCCAACCATGGGTCGGGTACCAGTCAACCATGGGTCGGGTACCAGTCAACCATGGGTCGGGTACCAGTCAACCATGGATTAGGTACCAGTCAATCATGAGTCAAGTACCAGTCAACCATGGGTCGGGTACCAGTCAACCAGGGGTCGGGTACCAGTCAGCCCTGGGTCGGGTACCAGTCAAACATGGGTCGGGTACCAATCAACCATGGGTCGGGTACCAGTCAAACATGGGTCGGGTACCAGCCAACCATGGGTCGGGTACCAGTCAACCATGGGTCGGGTACCAGTCAACCATGGGTCGGGTACCAGTCAACCATGGGTCGGGTACCAGTCAACCATGGGTCGGGTACCAGTCAACCATGGGTCGGGTACCAGTCAACCATGGGTCGGGTACCAGTCAACCATGGGTCGGGTACCAGTCAACCATGGGTCGGGTACCAGCCAACCATGGGTCGGGTACCAGTCAAACATGGGTCGGGTAGCTGTCAACCATGGGTCGGGTACCAGTCAACCATGGATCAGGTACCAGTCAACGATGAGTCAAGTACCAGTCAACCATGGGTCGGGTAGTTAGGTAAGACACATATGCAACAGTTAGGTATCTTTATTATGAAACGTTTCGCCTACACAGTAGGCTTCTTCAGTCAAGTACAGAAAAGTTGATAGAAGCAGAAGATACTTGAAGACGATGTAATCAGTCCATCACCCTTAAAGTTTTGAGGTGGTCAGTCCCTCAGTCTGGAGAAGATCATTGTTCCATAGTATGAAACAATATGGAGAAGAAGTGACAGGATGGAGCTTTTTATTAGCGCCAAGAGGTGAGACGTAGGCTATAAAAAGCTCCATTCTGTCACTTCAACTTCATATTGTTTCAGACACGGAACAATGCTCTTCTCCAGACTGAGGGACTGACCACCTCAAAACTTTAAGGGTGATGGACTGATTACATCGTCTTCAAGTATCTCTGCTTCTATCAACTTTTTCTGTACTGACTGAAGAAGCCTACTGTGTAGGCGAAAAACGTTTCATAATAAAGATACCTAACTGTTGCATTATGTGTCTTACTAACAACCTGTCGGTATTTTATACCATTTTAATGTTCATGGGTCGGGTACCTGTTAAACCATGGGTCGGGTAACGGTCAACCATGGGTCGGGTACCAATCAACCACGGATCAGGTACCAGTTCAACCATGAGCCAAGTACCAGTCAACCATAGGTCGGGTACCTGTCAACCATGGTCGGGTACTGTCAACCATGGGTCGGGTACCAGTCAACCATGGGACGGGTACCAGTCAACCATGGGTCGGGTACCTGTCAACCATGGGTCGGGTACTGTCAACCATGGGTCGGGTACCAGTCAACCATGGGTCGGGTACCAGTCAATCATGGGTCGGGTACCTGTCAACCATGGGTCGGGTACCAGTCAATCATGCGTCGGGTACCAGTCAACCATGGGTCGGGTACCAGTCAACCATGGGTCGGGTATCAATCAACCATGGATCAGGTACCAGTCAACCATGAGTCAAGTACCAGTCAACCATAGGTCGGGTACCAGTCAACCACGGGTCGGGTACCTGTCAACCATGGGTCGGGTACCAGTCAACCATGGGACGGGTACCTGTCACCATGGCTCGGGTACCTGTCAACCATGGGTCGGGTACCAGTCAACCAGGGTCGGGTTACAGTCAACCATGGGTCGGGTACCAGTCAATCTGCGTGCGGTACCAGTCAACCATGGGTCGGGTACCAGTCAACCATGGATCAGGTACCAGTCAACGATGATGTCAAGTACCAGTCAACCATGGGTCGGGTACTGTTAACCTGGGTCGGGTAACGGTCAACCATGGGTGGGGTACCAATCAACCATGGATCAGGTACCAGTCAACCATGAGTCAAGTACCAGTCAACCATAGGTCGGGTACCAGTCAACCATGGGTCGGGTCCTGTCAACCATGGGTCGGGTACCTGTCAACCATGGGTCGGGTACCAGTCAACCATGGATTAGGTACCAGTCAATCATGAGTCGAGTACCAGTCAACATGGGTTCGGGTACCAGTCAACCATGGGTCGGGTACCAGTCAACCAGGGGTCGGGTACCAGTCAGCCCTGGGTCGGGTACCAGTCAAACATGGGTCGGGTACCAGCCAACCATGGGTCGGGTACCAGTCAACCATGGGTCGGGTACCAGTCAACCATGGGTCGGGTACCAGTCACCATGGATTAGGTACCAGTCAATCATGAGTCAAGTACCAGTCAACCATGGGTCGGGTACCAGTCAACAGGGGTCGGGTACCAGTCAGCCCTGGGTCGGGTACCAGTCAAACATGGGTCGGGTACCAGTCAACCATGGGTCGGGTACCAGTCAAACATGGGTCGGGTACCAGCCAACCATGGGTCGGGTACCAGTCAACCATGGGTCGGGTACCAGTCAACCATGGGTCGGGTACCAGTCAACCATGGGTCGGGTACCAGTCAACCATGGGTCGGGTACCAGTCAACCATGGGTCGGGTACCAGTCAACATGGGTCGGGTACCAGTCAACCATGGGTCGGTACCAGTAAACCCATGGGTCGGGTACCAGCCAACCATGGGTCGGGTACCAGTCAAACATGGGTCGGGTACCAGCCAACCATGGGTCGGGTACCAGTCAACCATGGGTCGGGTACCAGTCAACCATGGGTCGGGTACCAGTCAACGTCAACGTGCTGTCTTTGCGGCTCTACCACAGGATCTCTGTAACCTTCTCTCTACCATTGCCTTTGACACTGCTCGCCTGAATGCACAAGTTCATTCTTCCAAACTACAAAATAAACTTCAACGTCTCATCTCAGCTAGCCCTTGGTCTAAATTCTCCCTCACTGACTGTGTTACTAATCTGTCTTCTGTCTCACTCTCTCAGTATGAGCTTGAACTTCTTGGTTTTGGCCTTTCCTTTGCCACTTCGCCTACTCCTCGCGCTAGTATTTCCCTGATTAGCTCTTTTGATTCCTTTCGTCAATCTCGCTTCCGTAATCTTCCTGACTTGTCCACTTTTCGTGGTGCTCTCCTTCCTGCTCTTGTTAGTCTGTTTTCCAAGAATCACCACCTTCCACGCCGTTACCAACTTGCCCTTTCTTCTCTTAAATCCAACACTAACATTGTCATACTATCTTCTGACAAAGGTAATTCGGTAGTTATCCTTGATCGCGAGGATTACCTCCGTAAAGCTGATGTCTTGCTCTCTGACTCACGCACCTACACTCCTCTCGTTTCCAACCCTCTTGATCGCATCAAGAGAACTTTCAACAAAAAAACTAAGGACTCTCTCCGACCTCTGTCCTCCTGACTTTGACCTTGTTCTACGGTTTCGTGTCATCTGTCCCTCTCTTCCCTATTTCTATGGCCTTCCCAAAACTCATAAACCTGATATTCCTCTTCGTCCTATCTAGAGGTTCTGTCTCTTATTCTCTTGCTTCTTGGCTGGCCAAAACCCTCACTCCCTTTCTTGGTACTTTTTCTCCTGCCCACCTCCGTCACTCTCAAGACTTCATTGAACGGGTTCGCTCTCTCCCAACCTGTAAGATGCTTAGTCTTGACGTTGAGTCCCTCTTCACCAATGTCCCTCTTGATGATGTCCTTGATTTCCTTAGAGAGAAGGCCCATGAAGGGTTTCTTCATCACCCTATCCCCACTGATGTCTTTCTTGATCTGATCCGCCTCTGTGTGGACTCTAACTCCTTTTCCTTCCAAGGGAAATATTATTCTCAAACCTTCGGTGTCGCTATGGGCTCTCCTCTCTCTCCTGTCCTTGCTAATCTTTACATGGAATACTTCGAGACTGTTCTTCTTCCTACCCTCGATGTGCAACCTTCACTCTGGCTCCGCTATGTGGATGACATCTTTGCTCTGTGGCCTCAGGGACTCCAGTATCTTCCAACCTTTTCTTGAAGCTCTTAATAATCTTGCCCCTTCCATTAATTTTTAAAGCTGAATGGGAATCTAATTCCTTTCTTCCTTTCCTTGATGTCCATGTCCACCGCTCAGATACAGGTTTTTCCTTTTCCGTTTACCGTAAACCTATGCACAGTGGCATGTACATTCACTACTTTTCCTATCATGCTTCCCCTGTCAAGAAAAGTGTTCTTATCTCCCTCTTTCTCCGTGCCCTCCGCATCTGTGATCCTCAGTTCCTTCCAGCAGAAATTTCCAATCTTCATAATTCGTTCTCCCGTCTTGGCTACCCTTCCCATTTCATAGACTCTGCCCTCTCACGTGCTAAACGCAATTTCTTCTCTCCCAAACTCTCTACTCATGGGAACTCTTCTATCCTCTGCCTTCCCTACATTTCCGGTCTTTCTAATCTCAACAATTCTCTCCGTCCCTTAGACATCAAGCTTACCTTCCGCCAGACTAACACTCTTCGCACTAATCTCGTTCATACCTCTCCTCCCTCTACAGATGTTCCTGGTGTCTACTCTATTTCTTGCTCCTCCTGTCCTCTTCAGTTACTTCGAGAGAAACTGGTCGATCTCTTTCTGACAGACTTAGGGAGCACAAAAACAGTGTTAGGCTTGCCGACACTAAAAAATGCTCTTTTCTGTCACGTCAGAGATCATAGCCATCCTATTGACTGGTCTTCTGCTAAAAAATGTCTTCCCTACTTCCAACTCGAACAGTCGCCGTCTAGTTGAATCCTCTCTAATACACAACTTTCCTTGTATGAACCTTAGCCCTGGCTTCGTCTCTGTAGATGCCTTCCTCTCCCACTACATTGTAAAATGCTCCAAACTTCAGAACACACCCCTGACTTAACCTGAATCCTCATTTTTTCTTTCTTTTTCTTCTTCCTCTTCCCCTTTCCTCTTTCCTTTTCTCCTCTGGGTTGTCTTTCTCTCTCCTGTCTCGTGTTTCTGTTCCTTCTTCTTTTATTTCACCACTTCCCCTTTCACGCACCTCTGTGCGCTTGCTCTCCCTCTGTGGCCATCTAGCTCTCGTGCAGTGCTCCCCTTCCTTTGTTTTTGTTTTTGACTGGCTCGTCATCCTTATTTCCCACTTCTACCACTACTACTACCTCTTCTTCTTCTACTACTACTACAACTACTGATGAAATTAAGACACATGTGCGGCGTCTGGTTGTCTTTGTTGTGGACGTTTCGCCATCCAGTGGCTGGCTGGATGGCGAAACGTCTACGATGGGGATGCCCGGGTGTTGTGCATGTGTCTTAATTTCATCTTGTCGGTATTATATACAATTCTTGTACTACTACTACTACTATCTCCACCTCTTCATGCCTATATATAGCCGTCCTGCTCCACCTCTGTTAGTGTGACTTTGTCAATTGTCCAAGTCGGACCGAAACGTCGTCGTAAGCTTCTCTCTTTTATGTGCGAGTTATTTGTGTATCGTTCCAGTCACGGTATTGTGCCTTTTTGTTATTTACCTCTGTCTAACCCACACCCAGCACCTCTGTCTAATCCATACCCAGCATGTCGGTTTAACCCACACCCAACACTTCAGTCTAACCCACACCCAGCACCTCGGTCTAACCCACACCCAGCACCTCAGTTTAACCCACACCAGCACTCGTGTTTAATCCACAAAGTTATCGTCAATAAAGACACCTAGGTGTTACACATGTGTCTTTTTCAACTGGTCAATATTGTCTGGTAAATGGTTATATATGTAATGAGACCGTAGCAGGACGTCCCCAGCACGTAGCAGGACGTCCCCAGCACGTAGCAGGACGTCCCCAGCACGTAGCAGGACGTCCCCAGCACGTAGCAGGACGTCCCCAGCACGTAGCATGGACGACGATCTGTTGGGTTTTCTCTCTTTCCTATTTTCTACAAAAGCAAAATTTCTCCCTCGTGTTGTGTTTAACTGATCTCACTTAATTCTTGGCTTTTTTTTTTTTTTGCAGTCGTTCTTCGGGCGGACGTACAACAACCTGTCGTCGCTGAATGAGTGTAAGAACAGCGGTCGTTGCATCATCAACAAGAAGACGCGGACGTCTTGTAAGAGTTGTCGTCTGCGCAAGTGTCTGATGGTGGGCATGTCGAAGAGTGGTTCCAGGTACGGGCGTCGCTCCAACTGGTTCAAGATCCACTACCTGATGCAGGGTAACAGCAGCAGCACCACCACTACCACTAGCACCACCAGCAGCAGCGGCAGCGCCACCAGCAGCACTTACACTACCTCGGCTGACATGATGCTAGGCAGTGAGAGTTCCTCCAACAACAACACCACCACCACCACGGCAGCCTCTACTTCTCCTGGTCTCCTCAGCCCCTCCCACAACGCTAAGACACTCAGCCATGATTTTAGAGATTTCAAGGATTTTAAGTTTAGTCCAGACTTCAGCCTTAGTCCAGACTTCACCCTTAGTCCAGACTTTAAAATTAATCCCGACTTCAAGTCTGGGTTAGAGTACAAGAGCCTCAAGTCTCCCACACCGTCCTCGTCAGAGTCCCATAACTCAGAATCCTCGCTGGAGCTCACTGACAAGTCTCTTTTTCCGCCGTTCTCGGATCACCTTTACTCGAAGGAGTGCTGGCGCTGTACAACCTCCGAAAACTGACCCCTCCCTTCCCCCTACTTTCCCCCCTGCCTCACAGCCCACCGCTCCTTATTTTACTATCCCTCGCTTTCTCAGTCTACTCCGCCGCCAATACCTCGATCTCTTTTACAAAAAGGCGCGGCAAAAGCGAGGCCTCGCACCCTTTGCCTCGGGGAGGGCCCCCAGAGACCGGGCCCCTCGCCCAGCCAAGAGTTCCCCCCCCCCATCAAAGTTCTTCAACCCCAAAACCCCTCGCGTCCTCACCCTGCCCTGAGGTGGCGGTGAGAAACATTTCCACTTTCGCCAGTCCGGGGCGTTTTTGCCTCTGGGCAGAGCTGCCACTGGGGACATCTCCCCAAGTTTAACCGGTCAGACCGACCCCGCGGGCAGTCCAGAGAAGGGCAGTGGGTGCACCCCCCCTCAAACCCTTCCTATTGATCTCAGTGTTAAAAAAAAATCCCGAGCCCGAAGTTAAAACTCAGGGGGAAAAGATCTGCTTCGAACAGTCCCCGGGGAAGGAAGGGGGAAAAGGGGGGAGGAGAAGCCAGGAGGGGGAAGAGGGGAAGGTAGTGGAAAAAAAGAAGAGAAAAGAGGCCCCCCTAGCTGAGGCGCGAGGACGGGGAGAACGTGCCAAAAGTGCCAAGTGTCCCTCTTTATTTTCCCTCCCCCCATACTCCTCTCTCCTCTCTCTCTCTCTCTTCTCTCTCTCTCTCTTCTCTTCTCTCTCTTCTCTTCTCTCCCTCTTTCTTCTTTTTTCCCTCTTTCATTCAATTTACCCAGGGAGTGTGACGGTCACACTTTTCCTAAAAGCGGCCGAGTGTGTACCATCAAAACACTGATGATGAAAAGGTCACAGCCGGGGATGTACCAGGTCACAACACTGAGTGATGTACGGGTCCAGCCTGAGTGATGTACCGGGTCACACCTGAGTGATGCCCAGGTCACAACATGTGGTACCGGGTCACAACATTTGAGTGTGCCAGGTCACGTGCGGGTGATGTAACCAGGAAACACAGTATGTACCGGTAAAACAAACTGTGATGTACCGGTAAAACCATGGGGATGTACGGGTCAAAAACTGAGTGATGACCGGGCCAAAAACCTAATTTATGTACCGGGTCACAACATGAGTGATGTCCCGGTCACAGTGCTAATTTATTCCCGGGTCACAACAGAGGTTTCCAGGTCCAATTGAGTGATGTACCGGGTCACAACACTGGTGATGTCCCATTCAAGTGTGAGTGATGTACCCAGGTACAAACTGAGTGATTTTCCAGGTAAAAACCGAGTGATGTACCAGGAAAAACCTGAGTGATGTCCCAGTCACACTGAGTGATGTACCAGGTCAAAACTGAGGATGTCCCAGGTCAAAAATGAGGATGTCCAGGTCACAATGATGATGTACGTCACAAACTAGTGATGTACCAGGGTACATGCTGAGTATGTCAGGTCACAACATGAGTATGATCAGGTAAATGATGTGTCCCGGGTAAAAACAAAACCACTGGGATGTACCAGGTCAAAAAATGGGGATGAAGGTTACAGTGCTGGTGGATGTACCAGGTCACAACACTAGGGATGTACCAGGTCAAAATGATGTGACCGGGTACAGTGCTGATGATTTACCAGGTCAAACATTTTTGACCCCAACCGGGTTTTTAAACCATCAATGCGAATTTCACCCCTTGCCTCAAACACAAAAAACCCCCACCACTGAGTGAGTCCCAGGTCACAGGTGGTGATGTCCGGGGGTCACAACTAAGTGATTACCAGGTCAAAACACTGAGTGATGACCAGGCAAGTGCTGAGTGATGTACCAGGTCAAAACAGAGTGATGTCCCAGGTCACGTGCGAGTATGTACCGGGCCCAAAACACTGAGTGTGTACCAGGTCCAACACTGAGTATATACCAGGCACAACATTTGATGATGTCCCCAGGTCACAACCTGAGTGATGCCCCGGTCACAACTTTGAGGATGTCCCAGGTCAAGCGCTGAGGAGTACCAGATCAAGTGCTAGTGATGTCCAGGTCAAACATTGAGGGATGTACCGGGGTTTCACAGTCCCCCCGGTGATTGTCCCAGGTCACAGCGCTGAGTGATGTACCAGGTCACAGCGCTGAGTGATGTACCAGGTCACAGCGCTGAGTGATGTACCAGGTCACAGCGCTGAGTGATGTACCAGGTCACAGTGCTGAGTGATGTACCAGGTCACAGCGCTGAGTGATGTACCAGGTCCAGCGTGGGATGTACCGGGCACAGCGCTGAGTGAGTACCAGGTCACAGCGCTGAGTGATGTACCAGGTCACAGGCGGTGATGTACCAGGTCACGCGCTGAGGAGTACGGCACAGCGCTGAGTGATGTCCAGGTCAGTGCGATGATGTACCAGGTCAAGCGTGAGTAAAGTCCCACACGTGGCTGAGTAATGTCCCGGGTCACGGGCCTGAGTGATGTACCGGTAGTGTGGTGATTCCCAGTCAACGCGAGTGATGTACCAGGTACAGCGCTGAGTGATGTACCGGGTCACAGCGTGAGTGATGTACCAGGTCCAGTGCTGAGTATGTCCCGGTCACAGCGCTGGTGATGAAACAGGTCACAGTGTGATGATGTCCCAGGTCAAGCGTGAGTGATGTCCAGGTCACAGGCGAGTGATGTACCGGGTCACGCGCTGAGTGATGTACCAGGTCACAGGTGAGTGTGTACCAGGCACACGCTGAGTGATTTACCAGGTCCCAGGTAGTGAGTACCAGGTCACAGCGTGAGGATTTTACCAGGCAAAAATGTTCATCTACCACTATTTCTCCTCTCCGGGCCCAACAAGATCACCTGGGAAGTCACCCTGGGAAGACATCCGGAAAGATATCTGGAAAATCCTGGGAGATAACCCCGGGAAGATACCTGGGAAGATCCCCGGGAAAATCTCCTGGGGATCACCCTGGGAAGATCACCCGGGGAAGATCATCGGGGAAGATCTCCGGGGAAGTATCCTGGAAAGTCACCCTGGAAGATCATCCGGGGGAAAGATCACCTGGGAAGACATCCTGGAAAGTCACCCGGGGAAGACATCGGGAAGATCATCCGGGGAAGATCACCCGGGGAAGATCATCCTGGGAAATCACCCTGGGAAGTCATCCTGGGGAAGATCACCTGGGAAGATCATCCTGGAAAGATCTTCCGGAAGATCATCCGGGGGAAGATCATCCGGGAAGATCACCCGGGGGAAGATCTCCGGAAAAGTTTTCACCCTGGAAAGATCTCCTGGAAAGATCACCCTGGAAAGATCACCCGGGAAAAAGATCATCCGGGAAGATCATCCTGGGAAGATCATCCTGGGAAGATCACCCTGGGAAATCACCCGGGGGAAGACTTCCGGGGAAGATCACCCGGGGAAGATACCTGGAAAGTACCCCGGAAGATCATCCGGGAAAGATCATTGGAAAGATCATCCGGGGAAGATCTTTTCCTGGGAAGATCCCTGGGAAGATCCCCGGGAAGATCACCCTGGGAAATCTCCGGGGAAGATCACCCGGGGAAGCACCCCTGGAAAGATCACCCCGGGAAATCTTTGGAAAACATCCGGGAAGTCATCCTGGAAAGATACCGGGAAGACCCATCCTGGAAAAAGATATCCGGGAAGATCATCCGGGGGAAGATCATCGGGGGAAGATCACCCGGGGGAAGTTTCACCCTGAAAAGATCATCCGGGGAAGATATCCTGGGAAGATCATCCTGGGAAGATCATCCTGGGAAGATCATCCCGGGAAGATCATCCTGGGAAGATCATCCTGGGAAGATCATCCTGGGAAGATCATCCTGGGAAGATCATCCTGGGAAGATCATCCTGGGAAGATCATCCTGGGAAGATCATCCTGGAAGATCACCCCGGAGTACCCTGGAAAGATCATCCCGGGAAGCTCCTGGAAAGATCATCCGGGGAAATCTCCGGGGAAATCACCCTTGGGAAGATATCCTGGGAAAGATACCCGGGAAGATCATCCGGGGAAAGATCATCCTGGGAAGTCACCTGGGAAGAACCCGGGAAATCATCCGGGGAAGATCATCCGGGGAAGATCTCCGGGGAAGTCATCCTGGAAGATCATCCTGGGAAGATATCCTGGGAAGTCATCTGGGAAAAATCCTGGGAAGTCACCCGGGGAAAGATCTCCTGGAAAGATCCCCGAAAGATCACCCCGGGAAGATCACCCTGGAAAGATCACCGGGGAAGTCACCCTGGGAAATCACCCTTTGGGGAAGTTCTCCTGGGAAGATCATCCGGGGAAGTCACCCTGGGAGATATCCTGGGGTCACCCCGGGAGTCATCCGGGGAAGATCTCCGGAAGTCACCTGGGAAGATATCCGGGAAGATATCCGGGGAAAGTTCATCCTGGGAAGATCATCCGGGAAAGATTTTTCCGGGGAAAGACACCCTGGGAAGATATCCGGGGAAGATACCTGGGAAATCATCCGGGGAAGATATCCTGGAAGATATCCCGGGAAATCATCCGGGGAAGTTTCACCCGGGGAAGATCATCGGGGAAGATCATCCGGGGAAGCATCCGGGGAAAGTTTTCTTCTCATAAACAAAAAATTTTTAACAAATTTTTTTAAAATATCACCAAGAGTACAAGTTTTTTTTTTCTATGCATTCTTTAACTATGTGCTGTACTACCTATGTATTGACTATGTGTGTACTCCCTATGTACGACTATGTGCTCCCACACCATGTTTTGGGACTATGTGCGCTATCCATGTTGACTATGTGCTCCCATACCTATTATTGACTATGTCTGCTATACTATTTCGACTATGTGCCCCATCCCTATGTATTGACTTTGTGGGTTAAATACCTATTTACGACTATGTGCTGCCATACCTATGTAGACCTCCTACACTCAATCTGTGTGCATACTTGCAGCGGCTCTCTGAAATAAACCAGTGATAATTTTTTTTTTAGAAATTTTCGTCGTTCATGGACAATAAGCTGTGCTGTGGAAAGATGAGTCTCACAGCAGTACTATACCGTGGTGAAGGTAGATGGCAGCAGGGGGCGCAGAGTGGCGCAGCAGGGCATGGCACAGCGCGGCAGAAGCAGCGCAGCGGCTGAAAGGTAGGTCTTCTGTCCCGACCGAGCCAGAGCTGAAAAAAACTGGGAATTCCAGGTAATCGACTGCAGCAGCAGCAGCGAAAACCCTTGCTCGTTTTTTGTTTATTACGAAGACAAAATGGAAAAACAAGTTATGAGAGGTTTAAACCCACTCACAGCTTCCCTTACCCTCCGTACTCACTCACCTCTCCTTTTACTAGTTGTAGGGGTTTCCCTCGTCACCTAGTGCGTCAGGTGACCCCCGTCACCTAGTGTGTCAGGTGTACCCCAGTACCTGTGTGTCAGGTGTACCCTCAGTCACCTGGTGTCAGGTGTACCCTCGTCACTAGTGTGTCAGTGTACCCCCGTCCCTAGTGTGTCAGGTGTACCCTCAGTCACCCTAGTAGGTGACCCCATCACCTGTGTGTAGGTGAACCCTCACACCCGTGTGTCGGGTACCCTATTCCTAGTATGTCAGGGTACCCTCAGTCACCTAGTGTGCCCTGTACCCCGTCACCCGTGTGTCAGGTGTACCCCAGTCACCCCAGTGTGTCAGGTGTACCCTCAGTCATAGGTGTCAGGGGTACCCCCCAGTCACCTATGTGTCGGGTCCCTCAGTCACCCATAGTCAGGGTTTTCCCCCAGTCACCTAGTGTGTCAGGGGTACCCTCATCACCTAGTGTGTCAGGGTTCCCCCAGCCCATGTGCCCGGGGACCCCCAAATCATGGGGTGTAGGTGTACCCCAGTCACCTATGTTCGGGGTACCCTCGTCAACCCGTGTGTCAGGTGTACCCTCAGTCACCCGTATGTAGGTGTCCCCCCCTCACCCAGGGGGTAGGTGACCCTCAGTCCCTAGTGTTAGGTGTCCCTCAGCACCCATGTGTCAGGTGTACCCACGTCACCTAGTGGTACTGCTGAAACCTTTTGGTGAAAACAGGTACACTCTTTCGAGATGAGGTTTCGTGTTGCTCCAAGTTGTTCCAAGGCTCCAGAGTGAACAACGGTACACTCTTGCTCGAGGGTTCCGAGTGGAGGGGTAGAGCCCACTCATCCCGGGGGGGTTTCCCGATTAGAGGATGAGCCCCCATTCCGGGCTCTAAGTGGTGCCCAATCATCCCAGGGGCCCCCAGTGGTGCAATCTCCCCCGGGGTCCCGAGTGGTGCCCTCATCCCAGGGTCCAGAGTGGGGACCAAACATCCCAGGCTCCCGAGTGGGACCAATCATTCCAGGGTTAGGAGTGGAGCCCACGCACCCAGGGTTTCAGAGTGGAGGGGTGGAGCCCACCTTCCAGGGGTTTCCCGAGTGGAGGGGTGGCCCCCCATCCCGGGTTTCCCGAGTGAACCCCCTCATCCCCGGGTACCAGAGTGGAGCCCCGTATGCGGGGTTCGAGTGGAAGGCCCCCTCATAGGTTTCCCGGTGGGCCCACTCATCCCCGGGTTTTCCCGAGTGAAAAGGAATGGAGCCCCTCATCCCAAAGGTTTTCCGAGTGGACCCCACTCATCCCATGGTTCCAGATGGAACCACTCATTCCGGGTTCCAGAGTAGACCCCTATCCCCGTTTCCCGAGGGGACCCCACTCTCCAGGGTTCCCGAGTGGAGGGGTGGAGCCCCCCTCATTCCGGTTCCCGAGTGGGGGGGAGCCCACTCATCCCCGGGTTTCCCGGTAAGCCCCCTCATCCCAGGGTACCAGGTGGAGCCCCGTCATGAGGGGTTCCAGAGTGGAACCCCCTCATCCCAGGGTTCCAGAGTGGAGCCCCCATCATCCCAGGGTTCCCGAGTGAAGGAAAGGAGCCCCCTCACCCAAAGGGTTCCCCAGTGGACCCCACCATCCCAGGGTTCCAGAGTGGGAAACCCCCTCATTCCAAGGGTTCCAGGTAGAGCCCCTCATCCCAAGGTTCCCGAGTGGGAAAGGGGGAAAAACCCCCATCACAGGTACCAGGTGGAGCCACCATCCCAGGGGTCCGAGTGGACCCCCCTATCCCAGGGCTCCCGGTGGGCCCACTCATCCCAGGGCTCCAGAGTGGAGCCCCGTCATCCAGGGGCCAGAGTGGAAAGGGAGCCCACTCATCTCAGGGCTCCAGAGCGGCCCCTTTTTTCCCCGGGGCTCCAGAGGAAGCCCATTCATCCCGGGGTTCCCAAATGGAGCCCATCATCTCAGGGGTTCAAGTGGAGCCCATCATCCCCGGGCTCCCGTGTGGGGCCCACATCCAAGGGCCCGATGGAGCCCCCTCATCCCAGGGCCCCGTTCGTTTCCCTTATCATGAGCGAGAAAAATCTCAACATTCAAGTATTTTTTTTTTGTACATAAATATATATTTTCAAGTTTTATAATATATTTTTTTCAGCTATGTACAGATTTAAAGTTTTTATTTAAAAAAAAGTCTCAATGTATTTATGGTCCGGGTCCCGGTGGGGGCACCTTACCACCAACACCCAAAACATTAATATATATTTTATATATATATTATTTTATATTTATATTATATATATATATATATATATATATATAATATATATTATAATAAAGGAAATGCTCTCTCTTTACTAGGAATAAAAATGTGTTCATAAACCAGTCAGACTGCTCTCTAGATGCTAATGTTAAAGAACCATGACAAGACGCAGTAGATGCTCTCTAGTGCTAATGTTTAGACACCAGACAAGACGCGTCAGACTGCCCTAGATGCTTGTTGATGACAATACAAGAGCAGTCTATGCTCTCTAATTCTATGGATGACCCTGACAAGACGCAGTCAATGCTCTCTGATGCTAAAGTTGCTGACACCATGACAAGACGCAGTCGATGCTCTCTAGATGCTAAGTTTTCTGACCCATGACAAGACGCAGCAGATGCTCTCTATGCTATGTTGCTGAACCCCTGACAAGACCAGTCAGACTGCCTTGATCTAATGTTGTGCACCCGACAAGACGCAGTTCAGACTGCTCTCTAGATGTAATGTTGCGACACCAGACAAACGCTCAGATGCTTCTAGATGCTAATGTTGCTGACACCTACAAGACGCAGTCAGATGTCCAGATCTAATGTTGCTGAACCATGACAAGGGCGAATCAAAGCTCCTAGATGCTAATGTTGATGACCCATGACAAGACGTAATCAAAGCTCTCTAGATGCTAATGTTGCTACACCATGCAAGATAACGCAGTCTCTACGTACCTCTGACCCCTCACTCCTCACAATACTCTTTTATTTTTTAAACAGAGTATGAACCCCTCACCGCCTATTCCCAATCATTGGTTTCTAATGGTGTGCCAGGAACCAATCTGACCCTGTTTCCACCACACGGCTCCCATTACAGTTTCTTTTATATATCTTAAGAATTCATTGTATAACGCAGTATTTTATATATATATATATATATATTTATATATATATAAATTTATATAATATATTTAAAATATATATATATATATATTAAATTTTTATATATATATTAATATATATATATTAAAGCCTGGTGACAAATTGTCGAAAGAATCTATACTGCCGTTGACCTCTCCGGTGACCCCTCCGTGGACCTCTTCAGCCAGTGGCCTGTGGGTTTGCCTGTGAATATTCAAATTTTTTTTAAGAAATATCGGTGCCATGTAACGTGTAAGATTTAGAGTTTTTTAAATAAAAGTTGAAAATGGACCCTTTTTTTATTTTTTCTTACCCGGTGACCTGCATGTGACCGCACGGGGACCTGCCCGGTGACCTGTATGGGGCCTTTTTTGGGGACCGCAGGGGGGCCTGTATGGTGACCCGTTTTGATGACCTGCACGGTGCCTGCCGGTACTGCACAATGACCTGCACGGTGACCCTTTTCCGGGACCTGCAGGTGACTGCAGGTGACCTGCTTTGGGACTTTTCCGGGGCTGCACGGGGACCGCATGGTGACTTTCACGGGGTCCGCACGGTGGCCTCACGGGTCTGCAACTCCTGCCGGTGGCCTGCATGGTGGCCTCCCATTCAATTACTACATTTCTAACTTTATACTTACTATACTATTGCAATACACTAATAATAATCATAACAATATCTGACAGTACAAGCTTTTTAAATGGGGAAAAACTCAGACCAACGGAAATCAGTCCAACGTTGATCAGACCAAAAGTTGACTCAGCCAACGTTGACTCAAACCCAAGTTGACTCATCCAACGTTGACTCAAACCAAAGTTGACTCAGACCAAAGTTGACTCAGCCAACGTTGATCGACCAACGTTGACTAGACCAACGTTGACTCAGACAACGTTTACTCAGTCCAACGTTGGGCTAGACCCCGTTTTACTGACCAACTTGCTCGTCCAACGTTGACTCAGTCCAAGTTGATCGACCCCGTTTACTCAGTCCAACTTGACTCAGACCAACGTTGACTAGACCAAGTTGCTCAGACCAAAAGTTTTTGGGTCAGACCAAAGTTGACTCGACCAACGTTGACTCAGACCCAAAGTTGACTCGACCAAAAGTTGACTCAGTCCAAAGTTGACTCAGCCAAATTTGATCAGCCAACTTGATCAGACCAAGTTGATCAGACCAAAGTTGACTCGCCAACGTTTACTCAAACCCAATTGACTCAGCAACGTTGCCAGACCAACGGTGGAAGTCCCACAAGAACTAACAATATAAGTTCTAAAATTCTATAAGTCACTTTTATTTTTAAATTTGAATGAAGCTTAAAAAACCCGGGGGGGGATAGAGCAGGGAGTGGAGTGGCCTCGACCCCCATCCAGAACCCTGGCGCTCTTTTAAACAGTCAGACTTTTTAGTAATGTTAAAATGGTTAGTGGAAAATTTGTCAGTAATGTCAACATCTACACTAGTTGGTTTTGAAGAACTATTTGTACATATCTATGTAGTCTTCTAAAAGGGGCCAAAAAATGGTATTAACAGTGGGCAAGATTATAATGGGGACTTATATATATATATATATATAAATTTTATATTTATATATATATATATATATATATATATTATATATATATATATTATATATATAATTGTGATGCTGCGGGGGAACGTGACTCG